GTAATAAAAGTATCTTATAATAATAAAATGGTAAGAACCCTACCTTTTCAAATAATAATAAAGTAAATGCAAAATGTAATTTTTTTAAATAAGTCGCGAGTAAACGCTATTAGTTATATATTATTTATTATTAGTTATATATAACTGCCTCCGTGGCCGAACGGTTACCATGCCGGACTGCCATGCAGAGGTCCCAGGTTCGATTCCCGAGCCAGGAGAAATGTTTGTATGGCCTACATTTATTTCTCTCGTGAGTTTGGGTGTAATTTGTGGTTGTCTATGTGTGTGTCCATGGCACCCGCGACACAGGGTTTCCCTAGTGCGGGGCTATGTTGAGTGTGTGCGTTATTTATTTATTTATTTATTTTATTTGAGTTTTAGTAGTAGGTATACCTATAAAACGCATGTAAAACTTTTGTTTTTGTACATCGTCTGTATTGTATTTGTATATCGTATAGCTAGAAAGTTCCAAAGAAAGAGACACAATTTTAAAAAAAGGAAGATAGGAGGAAGAAGATGGAAGTTGAATTTTGATGTCGATATTCTTGGTAATATTGTTGCTGTTGCTAATGTGCATGTGCTATAAAAATCACTCATCAGCTTAGGCCATAATTGGAATATAACAACAGAACTAACAAGACGCATAACACATTTGCTTCTAAAATAGACCACTAGCCATGTAAAATTAAGTTCTCAGGTTTTCTCGATTCTCAGACGATCTAATTAGCGTAAATTTTACTGCTTTTGGAAAATAGTGACACATTCCAAAAATGTTCCTTTTTAATTTTATTACTGAGATTTTTGCAGAAAATATTAAATTTTGTTGTGATTGGGCGGTTAAAATAATCACTTGACAATGTTGGGATCGTCTACGATAATGTAATTTTGCGCGGCAGACACGCCTCAATTTTTTAAACCATTTTCTCGATGAAAAAGATTCTCTTGAACTAGGCCACTATTCTAGAAAGTCATCGATTTGTTCTTTTCACAGGTCCCATGGTCACGGGTGAATTATTTAAAAAAAATGTAAAAAAATCAGCCAGGTACCTTTACAGCTACCAGCACTATTAAAGATATCGGCTTTAATAATTGTAATTAAATTTATTGAAGTTAAGAAACATTTTTCATAAATGGCGCTATGGCAAAAAAGTTGTTAAAAACCAAAAAACAAAGGTCTGCAACAAGCACGTGGAAAAATTAGGTAGGTGGTTCGTTCCGTAGGTTTGCTAGAAGACGCTGGATCGAAGGATTTTTTCTAAGTGATCGATCTTTGTTTTAATAATTATAACAAACTAGTGAAGAAATATCACAAAAAATAATTGAATATCATGGTAGTGAAACTTCCTGACATTCAATAAAACTTAATCAGGCTAACCTATATTATGAAGGTGAAGTAGGTCGCTAAGTTAACAAAAATGTTGTACGATGTAAAACCGTACATAAAATGATTTTTTCTCAAACACATTTGCATTGCTGTCAAAAAACGAACACGGGAAGTTTGTCATTTATGGACCATGCGACTTCTTCCCGGCCAAGGACTGCAAAGTATGAAAATCCATTACTGTCCTCTTACTAGTAAATCTACCTATTATTAATAAACTATATAAACAGGTAAAAGAAGAAATTTATACAGCCAACTGCCCAGTGCTCATAATTAAAAAAAAATAAAAACCTACCTGTACTTAAAAACAAAAGAAAATGGCGGTAACATTTCAACTACAGTGTTTTGGTATTCTTTTGGTTTTTCGTCTTTTTTGTATTTTGGTCGCGAAAATGAGTGCCAGTGAGAAGAGCGATAATGAAAATACAGTAATAGATACACATTCAAACACATCATCAGAAGTTCAGCAGACTACTATAATAACGTGCATGGAAAAACAATAACATTTTCTTTTAGCAACTCTCCTAACACGTCAAATATTACTTTAAATGTCAATTAATATTTTTTTTACCTTTTTCTATTACACATCTTCCTCTCTTTAGTATTTTATTATTTTCTCACATTGTTTGAGAAAAATGCTATACATGCCTCGGCGGGAACGGGAATTGCTTGACTCATATAATACAAGGCCTCGCTGGCGCTCGTCCTTGTAAGTCATACTCGTCCAGCAATCCCTTACGTCCCGGCCTCTGCAATATTGTACTATAATTATTATTGGATTAAAATAATTGTATTTGTATACATATGTTAATTTTATGCATCCTCCGGCTGTTGACTTCGTAACCCAAGTTTTTGTTTTAGTTCTTTGCTTGTATACAAAGTTTATACACTGAAAACTTGTAACATATTGTGTTTTACATAATCCCCATAGTACTATCATGTAACGTAATTCGTAGCTAGTTGTACTTCACTGTTTGCAATAGTACTTGTATAAGTAATAAGTGTTGCGCAAACTAAAGTTCAAAATCCACAAACAACGCCGTGACTAACCTCTGTTTCTTTTTAATATTTAATCCTAAAACAAATTCCACCATTCAACTCGTTAATGCTGCCTAGTGTTAAATGTAAAACGTCCTCCAATGTTTGAACCATCTACGATTCAGAGCGGTCGTTTTTCATTCTTATAATTAAATAAAAATAACTAAGTCGGGTATACTAAGCTTACCTGCTACATACCTTAGGAAACACATTAAAAAGTCTATTTTACGCAAAGAAAAATTAGGATTCCAAAGCATTTTGAGTCTATGGTATTCCAACCTTTCAACAACAATTTATTTTTCTAATTCCTACTAATCTAACAGTGATACTAATTAAATTATTCTATTATTATCACTGTGTAGAATTAAACTAACTGTACTAATCATAAAATTAAATATGACACTTTAATTTTTTTGTTATACCTTCTTACGCACTTACTGCCGCGTAGCAGTTACGCCGTTTTTTGCTATTTACGTAGCAGAATATCAGTATGGTGCTGTAATTGAGCAGCAACACGCTACGGCCGTTTTGTCACCACAGCGCACACATACAATGCGTTGCGAACTTTTATTGTAACGCCTTGCAAATTTTTGTGTTTGTAGTATGTGTTATTCAATTAATTTTTTAAATGCTTGTATTTTATTTGTGCAGTGTAGCTTTTTTTGAACTATTGTTTTTTTCAAATTTTTTTATATGTATTGCACGTGTGTGTTTTGGGATAATTAAACCATTTATCAATCTATCTGTCTGGCGAATTGCATTGTTGATTTTTACGTGTCGAAGCGTGTAGCTGATTTATATTAGTGTCTATCTGACGAACCCTACGTTGCAGATTGACATTTTTTATTTAATTTAGTTTTTGATTTAATAAATCATAAATAGACTTTCTTCATAAATAGATTCTCTAAATACAATAAATTACGCAATGAACATTCTCCTACGTAGGGCATGTGTAAGTTGCAATATTATAATTATAACGTGTAAAATTTTCATGGCTTTGTTTACCCTCGGGCACAATGCATGTAATCAGAGAAACATCTACTTTAATTGACTGGGTCAGCAGAGCTCTAATAGCCGCTATTTATGGTGGCTCATGGTGATGCAGCGCCGCCCATTGCCATAGACAAATGACCTACTAGCTAGCTTTCTAGTGGCGAACGTTTTCACACTAAATTACAGTCATAAAAGGTATACGATGATGGATTATTAGTTTCTGAGTACTGTTTTGACGCAGTGCTTTAGAATTAGCTAAATTGCTACTCTCACATACGTAAGGGCGGTATAAATTAGTATATTGTGTGTGAAAATATGTTAATAATGAGTTCTGTAGCGAACCACAGCTACAAATCTTTGTAATAAACTATGTTAGCCCTTTTAACAAATTTTGATTGAAATTCTAAATTTAAATGTATTTGTTTTTGGCGCCTTTTTATTTGGTTAATCGTTGTTTGTACTTTAAAGTGTCTTAAATGGCGCGCTGTTTCGTATTATCCTAGAAGCAATGATAAACTGAAATAACAAAATTAAATAATTATTAATACCAAGATCGAACACTCAGAAAAAATCCTTCGATCTGGCCGGATTCGGACCGACGTTTTCTAGCATACCGTGCCAGACGCAATACCAACTAAGTCACGGAACCCGGCGGCCCTCACGAATTTTTCTATGTGCTTTGCGTCGTATCTTTGTATTTGGTTTTTTCAATGACTTTTTAGCCGTAGCGCCATCTATGAGAAGTCTATGACATTTTGTCACCCAGTACGACACCTTTGTAGCTACCAGCCCCGGCTAGAGATGTCGCTATTCATTGCATTTAAATTTTTATTGAATTGAAATTCAATTATTTTTATGTGAAATTACTTCACTAGTTTGTTATAATTATTAATACAAAGATTGAATACTCAGAAAAATTCTTCCGGTCTGGCTGGACTCAAACCAGTGACCTCGCCATCCCGTGGCTGACGGTCTAATTGAGCTACGAAAAGAACAAACCAACTTTACGAACTTCGCTATGTGCTCATGATCTTTGTTTTTTAACGACTTTTTTGCCCTAGCGCCATTTGTGTAAAGGCACAGACAAACTTATGTCTTCGGGAAACGGGTGCAGTACCAGTGTCTCTAAGATCTTTGCGATTCAAAGCTCTGGCACTTAAGTTGTGGCACTGTAACGCATCGATGCAATCGCGCGTTTGTATCGATGCAATCACGCGTTTGCATCGATGCAATCGCCTATAAATCACAAGTGTAACAGTCCCCTTGTTGAACCACTCTTAAAGCTCTTAGTGGCATTGCTATGGATAGGCGTGCTTACTACCACGCGCATGACTAGTTCGTCCCGAGAAAAAAATTGAAATCCTTCAATAACGAGTTTTTAAATGCGGTACGTTATCCACAACTTATCGCAATCCATTGCTGGACATAGGCCGCTCCCAATGCGCCATTTCGTCCGGTACACAGCTTGTCGCATCCATTCATTCATTCATCGCATCCATCAGTTCTTCGACAGATATGACCAGGCCATTGCCAATTCAGCTTCCTTTCTCTACGAGGTACGCAAGTCAGGTATGTGAACGTAACTCACCGTCCTGTTGCCTATATGCTTTGCGCGACACCTTAGCACGGCAGACTGCCCCACGACAGCAGAGACGTTCCTCGGCGATACGTCATCGAAGTATGGCCGCTCGGGACGACCTCCATCGCCGTTATTTACGCCTGGTAGCGCGCCCAGGCCTGCGCCTGCAACAAACGACGTTTCTTTAGTTTATTCATGTTAAAAATATGTATGTATATAATGGGTACATCATACATGAACATAAAAGGGTTCTATATATACGTCACTTTGAAAACTTCATAGAAAGGGCTGAGGTCTTAATTAGTTAAGAATGTTTGCTTTTAAACTCCTTACACAGTATTAAGTTTAGGCTGTCTAAAGCTGCGAACACAGGACTGCTACAAGATTTTCACAAAGAAGCGTATTTTAAGGTCATATCAAGTTAATACCTATTTATGATTAATTGAAAATGATAAATTAATTTCCAATTTTGTTAATATTTCCTTGTTCTGATCTTATAAAATAAAACCAAGGACAAGCTTTCTAAAAGAGTCAAACTTCAATACGTCTCATACTATATTAACTTATATATCTTATACGACTTTATGGTTCAAATACGTGGGAATATATAACGCACACACTAGACACTAGAGAAACCCTGTATCGCGGGCAGCATGGACATATACACAGGTAACCACAAATTACACCCAAACTCACGAAAGAAATAAATGTAGGCCATACATATTTCTCTCAGTACGGAATCGAACTCAGGACCTCTGCGTGGCAGACCAGCGTGGTAACTGTTCGGTCACGGAGGCAATTAAATACGTATCAGACTGTAAGCAATTTACAGATTATCTAAATGTAAAATTAAACACAACTTTTCATACATTCGACGTAAAACAACTTTTCTGTACCTAATTATCGCCTTGTCAAATACACATTTCCATGAAAAGCTTAACAACGAATATTAATTAGCATCACTAATCATGTAATTAAAGATCAATTCATTCTAAGTCTAGGGAAATAAATTAACACCGGGCGTGTGTACTTGCCATTAATTAAAACTGAACAAGCCGTGACGGTAATGAGCTTGCTTGCTTGTAACCCCTCATGCGTTTCAACTTCTATTATGGTTACGACGGTTTAACCCATTACATGATTTTTACTACATATTCATCTTAAACTATATTTTCGTTTTCAGGCTCGTCATCAACTGAGTGGCGTTTTATGACCCGTACGAAACCAGATGTATTATAATATTATATTATAATACATATATAATAACGCACACACTCATAGCCCCGCACTAGGAAAACCCTGTATCGCGGGTGCCATGGATACACACAAAGACAACCACAAATTACACACAAACTCACGAGAGAAATAAATATTTATAAAATATTACATGCGTGCATTAGCTATAGCTAATAAAGTATAGTCAATAGGCTACCACAACTACGCTATAAACGAATTTTGTTATATTTACGATTTACATTTTCAAATTTATATGGTAATAAAATACAAATTAAAAATTAATACATTATTTAATTTAATTTTCAGTAAATATGAATCTTTTAATCATAGTTTTGAAACTGGGCAAGGAATCAATTAAAATATCCATAGTTAATGTATCCAATTAAAGTATCCATGAAACTGATTATATGTTTTAACAATTCTACGCATAGAAGCAGAGATACCGAGATTAATTCAACTGACACGAGCTTTAAAAGGTATCTAATTTTGCGCTTGATCTAGGAATAGTAAACCTAACCTCACCTAAACTGAACCTAACCGGAGAAGTGCAGGAGAATCAATCGAATTATTCACAATTTAATGGAAAATAAATAGATCCCAAATAGTTCGGATAACATTGACTAGAAACTTATACTTACAATTCTATTAATTAGTATTTCATGTTTCCTTCAGTATACAAAATTTAATAGAGTTGAAGTTATGGAACATTGTTCCATGACTATTTGGCAACGTTCCGAAGAAGCCTAAGCACGCAATAAAGACTGAAGACGATTTCGTTTCTGTAATTCGCGCATAATGTGTAAAATAAACGTCCACATATTACGAGTTATGAATATGTTGTTCATATCGAGTTTTAAGGGTGCGTACAGATCTGGCAAATACGACACGGATGCGTCAGTTTGCGAAAAGGTTACGAACTGCACACGTGCATTGTGCGATCTGGGGGTCTAACATAACCTTTCCAAAAACAATTTTATTTCAATGTAAGCTTAAAGTAAGCTTATTATAATATTACTCATATTCGTACCATGACAAACCTGTCAACCAAGTAATGTATTATTGCTAATGTCTTATTCCTTACTAAAAATGGGAAAGAAATAACGTTATATGAACTATATAACGCCATCTCTTTCATTTTTGATGTTCCGAATTGTCTTATATTAGTATAATGTTTAAGTACGTAATGTTATTTACATTCAGAGAATTTTAACTGTTAAAAAAAGAAAAAATATTCTATATAAAATATTAATAATATCTATTAAAATTACGTTGTTTTAAATTATTTCTAAGCATTTTCATGAAGAAATATAAATAAAACAAGCTGAGTCTTGATAGTCACGTTGTGAATTCGGAATTATAGTCTAGTGTCAACTGTTAGTGTCGTCAAGGAGCATATAGATGTCGCTGACATAATTTTATTAAATAAACATCGCGTATTTTTATTTAACGAGAAATTATTTCCTATGTACTATTATATAAAAAAATAAACAAAATATTGAAGAGATATATATGATGAGATATATGTCTTAAATGAAGCATTCTTTAAAACGTAACCGAGAGAATTAGAAAGATAAAGTCCTTTCACATACCGGCAAGATTATATTTCTAGGCATTATAAAAAAAAACACAAATATCGTAAATTTCTATTCAATTTAATTTAAAATTAACCTTGAAAATACAGAACCCTTAAAGCACTTTTCATTTCTCAAAACTCGTAGTAACAAAAAAATATGTTAAATGACTGACAATTCGGTTGAAATGCGAACACTCATAGGGTCATGAATAAATAAGAAATGCTGACGCAAATTTGCAACTTACGGAATATCTTACGGCGGTGTAAATATGCCTTAACATGAGTGCTATATGAAGATGTGACTTGACATTATCAACTGTGCTCAACGTGTGGCTGTTTACATTTATCATAGTCAATTTACTGAAACTTTCACTAGAGCTCCTGGTAAAAGAGTTCGTCCAAGGAAGTACTGCCACCTTACCTATTTCAGCATTACTGTGTTCCGGTATGAAGGGTAAGGGTGCTGGTGAAGTTACTGGCAAATGGGACTTGTTAACTCATATCTCAGGGTGACGGGCGCAGTGGCAGTGCCCCTCAGATCTTTGTGATTTAAAGCTCTGAGTGGCACTGCAACTTTTATGGACAGGCGTGTAGCATAGCATCAGGCGCACGACTTGTTCGTCCCGTCACTTGATATTATATTAAATAAAAAGTAGTATATATATTTTAGATAGTAGTGTTTTAGATAGTTATTTCTGCCACAAAGTAATGTTAGCATTACTGCGTTCCGGTTTTGAATGGTAACATGGTGACAAAATGGAAGTGCCTCTCAAATCTTTGCAATTCAAAGCTCTGAGTGACACTGCAACTGTTATGGATAGTCGTGTCATTTAATAATAGGTGCACATCCTTTTTCGTGCCATTATATTACATCGTAAACAAAAAAACTGCCTAAACAATGTACGGAATGTTTTAATGCACAATACACCTCTTTTATACTCAGAATTCTTAGGCTTCATTCTTAACCCCGGCAACGCCTATACAATTTTAAAGCTGCATTGCAGTTCGCATATGTGACTTGCATTTTCAAAGCGTGTAACCCTAAAACACCGGCTGGGAAAGGCGCAAGCATAAAAGGCCTAACCTCCCTGCGGTGCGCCACAAAAGAACTTCATCGTTGTCATTTCCATTTCCTGCAGCAGCGCGAGACGTGATCAGATCGCGGCCATAAAACGAGCAGATTTTTAATTCTAAGTATTAAGGATACTGAGAATTATAAACCTCAAGAGTCAATGAGCACTATTTATCCACTGTTCCATCCATTTTATAGATCTTATAATATTAAATATGTATTTTTGTAACTATTTATATAGTCTGTAGTTAATATTTTTGCTATTATTTTATTATTGTTTTATTACATAATTTAATTTTCTTTTTGTTGTGCACGTAAGCCCGTTATTGTAATTATTTGGTCCTGTATTTTGGTCTGCAGGACCAAATTTCTTTTAGAAATAAGCAGTACCTTTTGTTTGTTTTTTTACGTTTCACTAAATATGAGTTGTGTTTACCTGTACAATGACCTCTAACAAATACGTGATTTTTAATTCTCGTGTTTTCATTAAGTACACAAATGACACTTTCTTCAATCAATTACAACAATGAATGTCGTTACATAATTCGGACTCAAATTAAAATATGTCTTTATTTATTGGTGAACAAATTACACTTGAAACGTTACATTTAGGAGGAATCTCCCTGCACGTCACACCATTCCTTTCCTGTACGTTTGGCAATAACGGGGCAATAATCGGCGAGTACCTTACGCCGATTGGCACAATCCTTTCACAACCGATGGCAAGCATTATAGCGTACGCCATCGATACGATACGAAGAAAAAGAAGTTACATTGATTAAACCGTCCGTAAGGCAAATTCCCCCGAGATTAAGGACGAAAAAAACTCCAAAAGCTGTTTTTTTTACATAGGCATAAATACACACGCTTGCAAAAAGACACAGCGATGCAAAAAAATCTTTCATAGATTTCTCATAGATGGCGCTACGACTAAAAAGTCGTTGAAAAACCAAATACAAAGGCTCGACGCAAGCATATAGAAAAATTTGTGAGGTCCGCTGGTTCGTTCCGTGGCTTAGTTAGTATAGCGTCTGACACGGTTTACTAGAAGACGTCGGTTCGGATCTGGCCGGATTGTTCTTTGAATTAATAATTATAACAAACTAGTAATTTCACAAAAAATAATTGAATATCAATTCAATAAAAATTTAACATAAATACACAATTAACTTTTACAATATTTATTTCAAATATCATAAATCGAGACAACCCAAAAGAGCTAAACCAGTCACTAGCATGGATTTTTGCCATACAAGTTTGCAGAAGATATATAATAACTTTTA